GATGGATAGATGGATGGGTGGACGAATGGGTGGATGGATCCTGTACAATGAGATCAATATTGAAGGGATAAGGACAGTTCACCCAAAAAAAAAAAAAAAATCGTTAGTGTTTCGAACAAGAAAGCAAGCCTTAAATGTCTGGAAAAATAAGTGCCGTAAGCAAATGTTTGTGTATTTGAGCAGCATAGAGAGAGAACTTATAGCAAAGCCTGTGACTTTCTTTGGTCACATAAATTATAATCACAACAAGCATATAGTATAAAATATAACAAAACAACAACAAAAATCCATATCATACATGACCCCACATTTGTCCCATATGAATCTGTATCATAAATAAAAGAGCAAAACTCAGCCCTTCGGTTTTCATGACGGCCCTGATGAGTGAGCTTTCCTTAAATACCATTAAGGTCGCACACGTTCGCCTCTCCTCCTGTGTCCGCTCTTATTTATCAAAGCTACAGCGTCGTCGATCTTAATGGCCGGTGTCCGTTTGGCCCTCGCTCTCGAACATGCCCTTTCAGTGACCAGGGCCCAAGCCGCTACTTTTAGGTCTGAATGGCCTTGGTAAATCAGTCTGTCGCTCTCCGTCCTGTTTTATTTGTCCTTTTTATCCCTCTCTCCTGGCAGATGTGGGGCTTGGGGGTGGCTGGTTATTTATCACCGCTACCTCTGGAGCCGGAGGTATACGATGGAGGATGGGACTGCCATACATAAGTAGACCGCTGTGACAAAGTCAGTCTGGAGTGAGACAAGTGGGCCATCTATCGCAGTAAAACAAAGATCCCCGTGTTCCTCCATAGTCTTAAAGAGGCCGTATTAATCAGAGAGAGCTCTGAGGACTGATATAACATCTTTAAGACAAAGACACAGAGGTTTAACGTGTTCGAGACTGGCCTCTGTTTGAGAGAATATTACAATGACCTGATTCAATTTGGATTTCATCACTCATTAAAAAAAAGTACTATGGTAAAAACATGGAATGGTATCATTCAATGGTATTTACTTCAATGAACACCATAGCATGTCCAAAAATACATGACTTTTTGGTTAAAAGGCTCTTCAAACTCTTAATTTTCTTCTCTATTTTCCACAGCCTTCATCATTTATTACAGTAAACTATTAACACGATCGACAAACTAAAACAGCAATGGTTAATTTAAATGTTTTACAGTACTTATTACAGTATATTTTGCATTAAATACCGTTTAGTATCACTTTTAAAAGCAACTATTTGAGCTTATAAAACTTAAACTTTGTCTTTTTTTTTTTTAAATGAGCGATTGTTTCGCTTGATAAGACCCTTATTCATCGTCTGGAATCGTTTAAAGCCCTTTGAACAGTTTGTAGTTTGCACTGAAACTGTCTTTTGGACCTTGAACCGTTTGGTTCCCATTGAAGTCCATTATATGGAGAAAAATCCTGGAATGTTTTCATCAAAAACCTTAATTTATTTTCCACTGAAGAAAGAATGACATGGACATCTTGGATGACATGAGAAAAAAAAAAAAAAAAAAATTGCTGATAATTTAATTTTTTTTGGTAATATTTAAGCTAGTCGACTCCATTTTGGTACTGTACTGTTATTTGAAACATAATTTATCATTAAATGTATATAAAATTTAACGAGTGCAACCTTAGCCAACTTGTGCAAAATCAGTTTGCAAAAAGCATCAAACTTATTCATTCATAAATATGCAAATAATGATTACTTTGCAAATGTAAGTGGTTGCAAAATTTCCAATACACTGTAAGCTCGATTGATCAATACCAAATCGCATGTTCCTCGGTGTCCACTAGAGGCCGCCGGTAATTACGGGCCGTCCTGTCAGCGTTTACAACCCGTCCTCTTGAAAAACGGGCCCACCTGACATCTGGCAAATGACAGTCGGGAGGAAACACCACCGGGGATGAATTTATGGGAGTGTTGTGGCGATGACAGGCCAGGTGAGATAGGAGCAGTGAGGAGATGGATTGGATTTTTCCCTAGTGTTTGGAGGAGAGGAGGATCTACTAACAGCTGGCCAGTCACTTATAAAGCTGTTTATGGTGAGCGGGACAAATGCCAACACAGACCACCACTATACAAAATCATTAATTACACAGGCGCAAACCCTCACACCAGAGGATACATCTGTCCATGACGAGTGGCCATACACACACTTTTCCAGAAAGTGTTCTGTTTATATAAAGCAACCCAGGATTTCCCAAACGCCCCTCGGGACCGCAAAAGAAATGCCAATGGTGAAATGATTTAAATAAAAAAAAATAAAAAAAATAATTGTTTATATTATTTTATTATTCATTGTTGTTATTGGTTAAGTACAATGCAACATATCTCGACAAAAGAGGAAATCACTGCAGATGGATAGATAGATAGATAGATAGATAGATAGATAGATAGATAGATAGATAGATAGATAGATAGATAGATAGATAGATAGATAGATAGATAGATAGATAGATAGATAGATAGATAGATAGATAGATAGATTTGTACCCTTTGTCAACTTCAGCTCCGTTCCAGCAGGCCAGTCCGTCTCCAGAGCCCAGATCGCTCACACACAGCAGGTCCGCCAGGCCACCGTAGAACGTGCGGTACAGACGCAGGCTGCTGAGGAAGTCTCTGGAGACACAGAGATGAGTTTATTTCATTGTCTGTCCAGTAGATGGCAGACTAACACAGGCGTTTAATGTTCTGCTTCAAGAGAGACAACAATCCAGTGAGCAATTCTAATGCAGTGTCTATCAACAACACTAAACAAATCAATTCACTGTCTTAGACCTATATTTTCATTTATATTTTGAATATCATGTATCCCCTTGGTATACAAAATATACCAAGTTATTTATGTTAAATAATAGTTACCATTATACAAATTATTATACATGAAATATTATATTATATAATAACATATATAATATAACTATAAATTATACATGTATGAAGACCTATTTATACTGTACTTATTTTATTTTATGTATTATGTATATAATATGTATTCCTTAAACATTAATGTTATTATTCAGACTTTTCTTATCAAAATATTGCACAGAATATTAATTATTTTAAATATTATATTAATATATAAAGTATTTTTTATACATTATATATGAACAAAGTCCAAATTATATTGTATTTATTTTATAAATTATATTTTTCTCTGGGTTTAAAAAAACTAATTGCATAAATTTTATATATATATATATATATATATATAATATGGATATATATATATATATATATATATATTAAAACATGTTTTCAAAAATACTACTATACACAATAATAATTAATCAAAAAATATATATTATTATAAAATATGATTATTCATCATCCATGTACAAAGCCCAATTTATGTATATGGTAAGATATATCTATATTTATACAGGAGATTAATGGTATTAAGATGTGTTTGGAAATTGTAAAAAAAAAAAAAAAAAAAAAAAAAAAAAAACATGTTAATGTTAAAGTTTTTTTCAAAATATTGCACAGAATATTAATTATTTAAAATATTATATTCATATATAAAGGTTTTTTTTACATTATATATGTATAGAGACCAATTCTATTGTATTTATTTTATAAAATATATTTTTCTCTGGGTTTAAAAAACAAATTATGATATATATATATAAATCTGTATATTAAAACATGTTTTCAAAAATACTACTATACAAAATAATAATTAATCAAAAAATATATTATTATATTATAATGATATATTATTATAAAATATCATTAGTCATCATGTATGCACAAAGTCCAATTTATATGGTGTGATATATTTATGGTAGACTAATAGTATTAAGATGTTTTTGGAAATACTTTGTAGTATTCGATTGACTATGTCCGTTTGCTTTGACTGTGCATGAGTGTATAGAGTGTGTTGATGAGGTGCCAGACTCACTTCCTCCAGTTGCTGAGTGTGTTCTCTGAGTTTCTGGCCGCTGCTTTCAGAGGAATGGAGTCTCTGTTGTGCTGAACGCGGCTGACCTGCTCCGTCTGTCTGCTGGGGTGACCACACACATCATGCACCTGCAGAGGTCACACACACACCATCACGGTTACTAACATATCCACCGGTGTGTCCATTATAGGTCTTTAACCATGGCTAAAGCTCAGAGCTGGGGACAGTCTGCAGGTCAGTGTTGATGAGTGTGTATAATCATGATCAGCCACTAGGTGATGCTGTTTTTTAAGGTTTCTCTAACGATGACTGTAAAAGAGAGAATTTCTTTCTACAGGACTTTGGATTTTGAAAAGGACAAGCGTGACTCAGTCAGTCTGTAGTCTGGGCATCAGATGGCACACTCATCAATTGTTCACAGATTCACAGTCTGGTTGTCAGATCTGTATTCTGCCTCTTCTGATGCCAAGCTGCAAACTACCAGATCCAATCCGACGGTCTAGTTTTCAGGAGACGAGGTGTGCAGAAAGTTGTGTTTACAGAAAGCAGCTCATTCAGAGTCAAAAATGTATTCAATTAAATTGTATAATAAATAATAAATGTCTTTGTATATATAATGATAATTATAAATGCATAATATATGCAAATACCAATTTATAGGCTACTGAATTTATTTTATAAAAATAACAAGTAGATTAAAAAAATATGATTCATATTAAAATATTACAATATTAATTAATTATATATAACTATTATTAATTAAAAAAATTATATATAAAAAATGTTTACATATCATGTGAATTGTGAATCATGTGAAAATTTTTCAGATTTATGCCAGATTTTTATTTTTTTTTTGACATGAAAAAAATATTACAATACTAAATTATATAACTTCAGAACGACCGAATCAACCTAATAAATTTTTTTGAATGGGTATATATAGATAATGTATGAAAAGTCACAAAATCTTACTCCACGGAGATGAAGGGAACCTTTTTTTTTTGTTAAGTAAAGATCGATTGGGGTCGTATAGACTCCATAACCCGATTGAGGGCTACACAGCGTCATATTTGCATTCAAAATATCATTATTGAGCGAATGACAATGACAGTTCATAAACATGCATAAACCCTACTTCATATTCAATACATATGTCATGTCATGATTATGAAGGTGTCATGTCAGTCAAATGAGATGAATAACATTTAATTTCTCACATATTTAGCCATGTGGTAATACATAAAAACATGTCTTTAATTGAATTTCCAGAAAAAAATAACTATATTATGGTATGTAGGCATATGTAATTACTCGGACAGTATGACCAAAATATTATATCACAGTATAACACAATGTGAGACTAATTGTGTTTTATGAAGATCCTCATTCCTCCAGAACTATGCTTCAGACTTAAATGAACCAGGTCATATCGAGTGTTTTTATTGGTCTAGCCCCTCACTGACCCAAACCAATGACAACACAGTATTAGAGACTTGGTTCTGATCCACACCCTGACCCCTGCAGATCAAGTGACACCCAATAGCTGACAAAGTCATGCGGTTTAAAGGCTTATTTCTACTTGCAGACACACACACTGTCTGCAAACATTACAACACGATCTGAAAACATGCGTACTGGATCCCACAGAAGCCCACTATGGTTTCTGGCTAACTCAATTTGCATGTGTCCAGAACACATGAGTGCGGTCGGCCGAGTCTCGCCAGCTGCCCACACCGAGGGTATTTTGAGAACGCTCTGGGCTCGCTGGCAGCATCATGGCATGTGTGTGTGTGTGTGTGTGAGCAACTGATGTCCAGGCCGTACCGCATTCCACGCCGTCCGAGCTGTAGTTACACCACGGCTTTTAAGACACTGCTTGAGGCATGAAAATTGCAGGAATGCAAAGGCCAGTGTTTAGGTTTAGTTTTTACCTAATTGTGAATGCAAGTTATTTAGACGAGCCACAGCCATAAAAGTAAATGAACATTGAGTCTTCAGGACTACATTAAATAGAGGGAATGCATTGACGTCACTTTCAACCCCCCTCTCAACCTGAGTGAGTGGCAAAAGATCTGCAGCGTTACTGGATTTAATAGGGGAAACTGACAAAATGCGACTAAAACTAACAATTTTATCAATTTAAACTAAATGTTGGACTCAATATAGTGTTCCTACTAAAGATCCAGTGATCCATGGATATTGACATGCAGCAAGGAATCGTGTTGCCTGACATTTATGTTTGCCTGATTTCGACACCGGGGAAATAAAAGCAATACAGACCTAAACATAAAGCAAATTTGCCTGTGAACGCTTTATATAAATACAATATAGGTAGGTCTAAATCACTTATATCAGTGTTATATATAGCCTATATATCATCATATCGTCCAGTTTTTGCTCAGTGTTTATTAAAAAACATCCAATAATGCAGAATATGCAATGATATATATTTAATTGATGAGTTGTTAATATATATAACAATACAAAATATACACTCTAAAAAATGCTGGGTTGTTGTAACCCAATTTTGGGTCAAATATGGACAAACCCGAAATGTTGGGTTAAAAATGTAATGTAAAAATTTAACCCAACGGCTGGGTTAGTCCATATTTGACCCAAAGTTGGGTTAAAACAACCCAGCATTTTTTGGAGTGTATGGGAATGGTTTTACAGCTAAATTCAGCACATTGACACAAAATGATAACTGCAAATCCAGCTTTCGCTGACTGGAGTCCAGTTGTTTCGCTCCATTTGCTCCTCTTTCTATTGCAGTCTGTAAAAATATACCTGTTATTTGTTTGTCAAATCTAGTTGTACAGTCAAACACAAAGCTCTTTCCCACTTTATATGTGTTGTGTTTGTTTTTCGTGGCATTCACGCTGAAAACAAATACAGCCGCTCAGTGTTTTTGCCACTCACTGTGAGAAACTGCAGGCCGACGGTGACGTCACGCGCATACCCTCTAAACAAAATCTTACATGTCTCATGCTGCCATCAAGTCGCTGTATATCGAGTCGTTATATTTTTCTGTGAAAAACTGAAAAATATAACTGGCAAATGCATCAATTTATTCCAGCCAAAATTAATAGGGTTTTTTTCTGATGACTTTATGTATTTTTCTTGAACGTTGGGTACGTTTATGCCCTGTTCTCATATATATATATATATTTTATGAAGAACATGTCAAACTACACTTTTTATCATTTTTATACTGATACTTTTCAGTTGAATTATAAATAGATTTAATAAATTTACTCTTGTCCCAAAAAAATTTAACTTATGAAATATATATTTTAAGAATATAAATGATAAGATATTTAAAATTAAGATGATCAAAACAAAGGTGAAAGATTAAATAATAACTACATCATCTTGTTATGTTTGTCCTCCAAAAGATTCCCTTCATCTCAGTGGAACGATTTTGTGACTTTTCATACATTATCTGTCTATACACACAAAACTGGGCTTGATTCGGTTGTTCTGAAGATATGTAAAAAAAAATTTGTACACTTCTGGTCATCGGGGTCAATATGACCCCACATGGAAATGAATGGGAAATGTGAAAAAAAAAAAAAAAACTAAATAAATTTTCTTCATGTCAAAAAAAAATAATAATCCATAAATCTGAAAATTTATACACAGAAATGAAGGCCTAGTACTAGAGCATAAATGCAAAGTATCATAAAAAAAAAAAAAATTGTGTGGTATATGGATAGAAATTATACATTACTTGTATGATTAAAAATGCATATTTTTTGTACAATTACTCAACCAATTGTTGGGGTCGTATAGACCCCGAAGCCCAGAAGTGTAAACAGGAAACGAAGACCATATACAGTAAATATTTTGATATAAAAATACAGCCCTAACAGGAGAGAATAGTGTTTGCAACAGCAAGGTCATGGGTTCGAACTGCATGAACTGATTAAAAAGCACACTTTAGATAAAAGCATCTAAAGAGTAAATGTAAATAAGACTTCTTTGCATCAAAGAATATATCTACCGTATTTTCCGGACTATAAGTCGCACTTTTTTTCATACCTTGGCTGGTCCTGCGACGTATAGTCAGGTCAGGTGCGACTTATACATCAAAATTACCATGATTTACTCGTCACAGGATCGCTTACGGCCCCAGATTATTATTTGTGAGTTTTTGATGTATTTGTGGTATGACGTGAATGCATCATTTGCCGAAATTGGGGGTGACATTACCGTCTACAGCCACGAGAGAGCGCTCTATGCGCTCTAGACTACAGCTACGGTAGTTTTACAACTGAAAAAAATAACTGAAAACAACTGATATTAACTGAAATATTAGACTGAACGCAAACAAAACATGGACTGCAGTGACAACCGAAACCATCCTGTCGGGATTCAGAAAGGCTGGAATAACCGGAACTGATGCCGAGTCTGACGACGGTAAATACGGTAAATAAGTCCGGAAAATATGGTAAATGACGACAGCTGATGCTTTTATCCGATATATTTGACTCATTTGCTCAAGATCAGTAGTGACGTCTTATGCATGATCACTTCGGATCCTGATTACCCAAGTACCTTAGCAGAAAGCCGGGGTCCGTTCCTCTGTGCGTGGGCCACTGCGTCCCTCACCAGCCCGTGGACTCCCAGAAGCACTTGCTCCAGGTCTTGTGCCCCGTGCATGCGGGTGGAGAGGGTCTCTAGCGACCGCACAAACTCCCTCCAGTGGGCGTCCACTTCAGCCAGGCTGGCGAGACACCCTCGCACCACGTTGAGGCAGTAACCCATGCAGGGCTTGCTGGCGGTCAGACCCTGGCAGTGCGGACAGTAGCTCATCCTCAGAAGGCCACGTCTGCACTCGCGGCTGAGCTGAATGTGGTCGGTGGTGTTGATGACCTCGATGCCCAGGTGAAGCGCCTGCAGAAACAGCCGTCCCGGCAGAGAGGCGCGGGAGATGTAAGTGGCGAGCCGGCCCGGGGCGGCACCGAACGGCACCAGATCCCGACACGCGCCGCGGACACACTCGGCGTACGCCGGAGACAAGCGGGACAGACCCGGCTCGACCAGTCGCTCGTAAACCAGAGGGAACAGGGCGTCGAAAAAGCGCTGTGAAGCTTCTTCCAGGCTGAGCTCGGAGCCCAACACGAACAGCCCCACATCCGTGAAGAACTCCCCCACGGGCGCCGCCGCGGCACCGGCCAGGTCCCGGTACGTGTGGAGGAGGACGGTGTGAGTGTGGTTCTCCGCCTGACGCACCAGGGAGTCCACGGTTTCTGGAAGAAAGACAAAGAGACGACGGTTCAATGGAAAAACTAAATATTTTGTTGTTCTTTGGAAAAGCATGATGAATATTTTCAACGTCAAATTTCTGAAGGATCACGTGACACTGGAGTAATGATGCTTTGATCACAGGAATAAATGACATTTTAAACGATATTACAACCGATATATCGGCATATTATCGGCCGATATTAGGCATTTTCTAAAATATCGGTATCGGCAGTTATAATGGCTGATAAATGAATATTTCAAAAATAAAATAAAAACGGACAAATCACGCTTCAACCTTGTCATAAGTGTTGGAGTTGTATAGTTTGTCCACCAGAGGGCACTCTACACCGTCCCGGTTGGCAACACTCGTGTATAACGCGCCACACATCCTGAACATTTAGACATAGAGAAAAAGTATCGAACGTATCTTGCGCATAAACGTTAGCTTTTCTTTTACACGTGTGTGAAATCCAACGAGGCCAAGTGTGTGTTGCAGACTGTCGTTCTGTAATGGATTTAGATTAGAATCGCTAAATAGTAGGTTTTAGGCAGGTGATTGAAAATGTTTTGATGTAGCTTGATGGAAAGAATTGAAAAAGTGCAGGTAAAGGGATAAGCAAGCTGACATTGCAATTATAAGGTAATGTAGGGACTAATTATTATTTTATTTATCAGAACTTTAATATATTTTGATGTTCCTCTGTTCTGTTGTGACAATAGAAACAAGTTTATTTTTAAAATGCATTATCATATTATTTTAGTTAAAACTCATACATAACTACAAATAACTAATGTTAGGGAAATCTGTTAATGTTTTGTTGCTAAAAAAAATAATAATAATATCGGCCGATATATCGGATTTTAAAACCAACAAATATTTGTATCGGTATCGGCCTTCAAAATGCTTTATCGGTCGGGCTCTAATTACAATATTTCAAAATATTACTGTTTTGTTCATCAAATAAGACTTTTTTTGCACAGTAACATTTGCATAAACATGTCAAAAAATGCAATATTCTCTGTGGTTCACAGTATGAGTATATAAATCCAACAACACCACAGAAACGAGTCCCAGACCCTTTGAAAGCAGCGGAGGAGAGAATGCCACTTCCTGCAGGCGAGACCAATATGAAATGCCTTTTCATCTGTGTGCAAAGAGATCTAAAGAGATTCCTCGGTCCAGAGAGAGAGAAATGAAAAAGGGGATAACAAGACGGAGAGAGCTTGAAGATACAAGGGTGCAATGATGCCTTGAAGCGCTCCTCATATATCTGCGTTTAAAGAGCTTACAGCACATCCAGAGATCATCTGCCTTTTTATTATTCTCTATTATGTCTGTTTATGATGCCCAAAATCATCTTTGTGCACATTCCCCAAACACTCAGTGCTAATTCGTATGCATTTATATGATGTGCAAACAACAGTATCTCAGAGAGCATTATGTCGGAGCGATGACTCGACTGTTGTAGTTTTAATGGCCTTTGGTTTTATTATGTTTTCTGTTTCTTGTAGAAGATGAGTGTGACTTGAGGATATGATAAGCGATATATTTTTGTGAATATATACCGAGTAATTTGAATTTGAATGCAAAACTTTTATAATGCGTTCTACAAAAAAGGACGTATACATATAACATATATATATATATATATACATATATTTTATAATATATATTTATATATATTACACACACATTATATAACACACACATAATATATAACATATATATATTACATTACACACACACACACACACACACACATATATATATAGTGTGTGTGTAATATACAGTATAAACAATTATAAAAAAAATTACATTATACATTTATACATGTACAAATTGTATACAAAATGGGAAAAAATGTTTTTTTTTATTTATAAAAAAGCATGTTTTAAACAAACTAAATATAACTTGCATAGATATATTTAGACATAATTGTAAAAATATATTAGACATAATTGTATTTAATTTATTTTATACATTTAATTTTAAAGATGGTAAATTTTAGTGTTATTAGACATAATTGTATTTAATTTATTTTATACATTTAATTTTAAAGGTGGTAAATTTTTATTTAAATACATTAAATACAATTATGTCTAATTTTTATTTTATTTTATTTATTTATTTTACCTGGATAAATAAAGGTTAAAAAAAAAAATTGACATAATTGTATGTCTTTTTTTTTTTTTTTTTTTTTACCTGGATAAAGGTTAAAAAAAAAATTAGACATAATTGTATTTAATTTATTTTATACATTTAATTTTAAAGGTGGTAAATTTTAGTGTTGGTAACACTATACTTAAAGCCTTTGTGCATTATAAAGGTATTCAAAATGAACATTTTAATGGATTATATATCTAGAATCCATTAAAAAAATATATATACACTTGTTAAATCTGTTTTTGGTTTATTGTCATTGTGTTTTTTTATGCATTATAATTTCTAAAGGCGCAACATAATATATTAGAACTGTATTATAATAATTCATGAGATTTCAAGGAATAATTAATGCATTAAAATACTTTAATAAAGTGTAACCACAATGTTCATCTACTGTTTGATTTGAATGATATTTAAATGAATAATGAAATAAACTTTTCATTAAATTAAAAGGGTGATGATGGTCATTCTTTCTTCGCATCCCGGCCAGTAACTCGATGAATCCAATATTTTCTTTGGCACTTGATGAGTGTTAATGTTGTTGGTCCACCGATTGTTGCTTTGCACAAATTACATTGCTGGCATGCTCTCTATGGCGGGAATCTTTTGAAATAATAAGTGTCTGACTACAGCTTTGGATGTGTGAGGGTAAGATGTGTCAGGGTGACTGGGGCCGAATCAAGCAGAAGGGTGAGACGTTGCTCTAAAACTGTTGTACAGAGAGCCGAGTACATCATGTGCCTGTCATGGGTTGTGTTGTGGTGTGTAAGAGTGTGTAAAGAAAGAGAAGGATAGATCTGAAGGGGTGAAACACTGCTTTTTAGATGGTAGTGCCTCGAGTATATCATAAGAAATACATATATATATATATATATATATATATATATATATATATATATATATATATACTGTATATATACACATACAGTACTGATTCATGTATATTTTAAATCTAAACCTTACTCAAATGACCCAGCCTAAAAAATACAAAATAATAGTAAACATTTAATTCTGAAATATGTTTTCTTTGAAATATATACTTTTTTTTCTTCAAAAGTTTGAGGTCAGTAAGGTTTTAATTTAAAAACAAATGAGTACTATTATACAGCAACCATGCATTTAATTGATCAAACATGACAGTAAATGCTGATAATTTGATAATGTTACAATATATATATATATATATATATATATATATATATATATATTAAAAAATAAATGCAGTTCTTTTGAATTTATGAAAGAAAAAAATGTTTCTTAAGCAGCAAATCAGCATATTGATTTCTGAAGGATCATTTAACACTGAAGACTGGAGTAATGATGCTGAAAATTCAGCTTTGATCACAAGATATAAATTACATTTTATAATATATTCACATAGAAAGCAGTTGTTTTTAATTATAAAAATATTTCACAATTTTTGCTGTTTTGAATGTCCAAATAAATGCTTATTTATTAAGCTTATTTATTAATTAGTCTTGGTGAGCAAAGGAGACATCTTTAAAAATGTATCAAATTCATGCTACAATCTTCGAAAAGTAATACTAATATTCTATAAATTAAACAAATGCATCTCCATCCCTGAAAACCTCCAGTACAAACAGAGACCTGATGTAATTTTACCTAGCAATCCACAAGCACCCTTCAGCACTAGAGAGGCACTCGATCCCCTCGCTTAGTGGAAGAATTACCAGCGGCATCATGAGAAACACAGGTCAACAGATTCTCAAAGCACTAGTATCTCTCCTAGCACTTGCAGTGGCGAGGACAAAAAGAGCACAAATCTGTAGGTGTCACGCAGGGAATTGTGTGAGAGGATTAGTCGCATTCGATACTGAGGGTTTCACAGGGATTAGAAACAGCTGATATGGGCTGGATGGGGGTCAGCGTAGATGTTTACCAAAGAGCGTTAATGAATCCTTTTACTAGACCGCAGAAAGACAGTATGTCTGAGCATGTGTGTGTATAAAGATTGAAGTCTTTAGGAGTTAACGGGAAGATTAGTGAATTCCCTGACAGGAGGTGAGAGTAGAGCCCATTATATGTGCCGTGGCTATTTGTCTCATTTAGTGGCTCATTACGCGCCGTAGTCAAGGAGAACCGAACTCGCAGGACACGGTGAGTGGCTATTTCCAAGTAATTCACTGCGCTCGTGGTTAATCCAGAGTCAAAACCTCAGGCGACCACCCTCACAAAGGTACCACAGTTTCCCACACTCTCTGGGAGTGTTTTTATGGGTTTCAGGTCATTGGTGGCATTCCCAGTCACATATGAGTTCCCTTATTCTAGACATTTGTTCATTCATTCAGTCATGAATTAAGAAACAAAAAAGTTTCTCCATTCCATGAAAATAATTTATTTTACAATTCCAGGTTATAGTTTGTGAAGGTTTTAAACAGGTTTTTGCAAACCAATATATACTACATTCATTTGGATCTACACAGACAGACAGACAGACACATACAGACACAGACAGACAGACAGACAGACAGACAGACAGACAGACAGACAGACAGACAGACAGACAGACAGACAGACAGACAGACAGACAGACAGACAGACAGACAGACAGACAGATAGATAGATAGATAGATAGATAGATAGATAGATAGATAGATAGATAGATAGATAATGTCAGATACCTTTAATTCCCTTAAGTATACAGTAAAGTATTAGTGAATGGATGGATGACTAAAGTGATTGATGGATGGATGGGTGACTAAAGTGATTGATGGATGGATGGGTGACTAAAGTGATGGATGGATGGATGGATGGATGGATGACTAGAGTGATGGATGGATGGATGGATGGATGGATGACTAGAGTGATAAATGGATG